ACTACTTTGGTCTGAATAACATGGCGTCACATCCGATCACGTGTCACCGACTCCTAGATGAATGGATGAGCATTAGCCTAATGTGTTGTGCTAGACATGAGCCCATCTATAGGAGCAGAAACTCGCGAATGTCGCTCAGACTCAACTACAGTAAGTTGCGGAAACGGGAGCAGATGAAGTGATAGCGGAGGGTTCTTATACCAGCCAACCGTCCTGTCCTGGTGTGCATGGTGTTATCCCGCTTATGACTGGTGGTGCCATTATTTTAAGAAACCCTGTAGCAGTGTCTCTCGCTGGGAGAAGAGCTTACGTGTGTGACAGTGTCACGGGGCACCTCGATGACTTTGACAGCAGTACAGCAACCAGGGCTCATACTTTGTGTTTGTTAGAAATGGCAACATCGTGCAGATTCCTTCTGCGGAGAGTGTTCAGTGAAGTCAGAGCTAACACCGTTTCGTGTTGGAGCTCCAGTCCAGGACGCTTACGGTCCCGTTACCTGAGTTGCTCACACACACCCTGGAAGGCTGCGCCTCCTTGCACAGGTAGCCTACTTTGGACATCACTGACTAAAATATGTGTTTTTGTGTAGGTATGGGATTTCATTTGCAGTAAGTAGGTTTGACACAATGTTCTGTTTGGCTTTATTGACTACAGCAGAATAGTTGTGTGAAGGATACATTTACTTGATAACTTACATTTTGTTACGCCGTTTTTTCCTGCTGTCTCATAGTCTTCGTGTTTATTTGTCCGGGTGCTTTTTGTTTCTGTTTACTGTATGTTATAGTCCACTTGCATGCAGCCAACATTTCCTGGGTTTCTGAAATGTTTTGCCATCAGGTCCCAGCAGTCTGTCCTTCAGGAGTCACACCTGTGGAGAGCTGAGACCAGACCATGTGGGAGAAAGAGTCACTCTGTGTGGCTGGGTCCAGTACCTCAGGTATTACTTTGTTACTGCTCTCTTACAATGGTGCTAACAATTACACATGAAATATCAAAATATGTATTTGAAGCTGTGTTAGACATTGCATTTAACCAGTTCTAGTGGGAGTTAACAGTGTAGCAAGACAAAGTGTTTACAGCTTTGTTTTGACAATAGGTACAGTGGTACTCTGAGCTAAATGCTGACATCACCATGCTAATGTTTACAATGACACTACTATGCAAGCATACTAACCTATTCAAGTCAGCTCTAAACACAAAGCACAGCAGAGGCTGATGGGAATGTATTGGACAAATTATAATTTTGACCTGGTGATGGCATTAGATAAAAAAATGAGACCTATTGCCATAGTTACTGTAATTCATTCTGATGAATATCTGTGATGTCGTTCATGGTTGGTTAGAAAAGCCATCAGAGGGTATACACAAAACATGCAAAGTCCTTATCCAGTAGTTGTCAAGAAATTTAATTCAGTACCACAAATGTCGACCTCGTGGTCAGAGGATCACCAGTCAGCGCGATGAGGATGTTTAGTTGCCGTTTACACAGGAGCGTGGCTCAAGCAGAGTGGACTGTTGGATTCCCATGGGGCCTCATACAAACTTGTGTAAACTGTGTGTTTCTGCCTCCAACAGACATGACCTCTTTGTCATCCTGCGAGATTTCAGCGGATTGACACAAATTTTATTTCCTCAGGAAGAAGTAAGGATGAAAATAATGAAATGTCAGAATACAGTTATTATTAATGATGGTTAATAATAAAGACATCAATAATAATATGCAGTGCTTTTGATTATAATGTAAATGTAACTTTTCAACACAGAAAAGGGGGAATTTAATAAAGTAAAACCAGTAAAACTAAAATAAAGGAATTCTATAAATCACAGCTTTTTTTTTTCTTTTTTGCAGTCTGCAAGTCATTTGAAAGCAGTACTGTGTGATCTCACAGTTGAGTCTGTTATCAAGGTTACAGGAACAGTCCGACAACGACCAGCAGGACAGGAGAACAAGGTGTGTGTATGTTTGTGTATAACATTAGACTGACTGGCTGTCTGAAGGAGATGCACTTATTCATATGAGGACATTCAGCTTTGCTAAGTCACAGAGGAGCTTTTGTATGGAAACTACAGGGAATGTGACTGTCTAGTATCAGAATTTTGGTACAGTATAATGCACTATGTCTATTTGGAAGATAATCATGGAACATATTTTTCCTATGATTTGTAAATGCATTGATGGCCTTTAATCTGCCATGGACACTGGACCTCGTGATACGTTTGGGGAATTTAAGTCACACTGGACTCAGTTTTGACTCTGAGAAGTGATCATAAACATGTTCGTAGTATTCTGAGACCCATCCTCTAACCTTTGGTAGTTAGCAGAGCAGTATCGTTTAGAGCGCTCTTTCTTGTCATTCTGTTATGTCCCCACAAACAGGGGATGCCTACAGGAGAAATCGAAGTCCTTGCTGAGAATGTGGATGTTTTCAATGTCTGCCACAAGTTGCCTTTTGAGATTAAAGACTTTGTCAAAGTAAGAGGCTAATGTTACATGCACTCTCTTGCAGATGCTCCAAGTAATATGATTTATTTTATTAATAATCTTGGTCAAGTGTGTTTTTCTTTCTTCTGTGTTTGATAGAAATCGGAGTCTCTGAGGATGCAGTACCGCTACCTGGACCTGAGGTCCTGTGAGATGCAGAAGAACCTGCGGCTGAGATCTCAACTGGTGATGAAGATGAGAGAATACCTCTGTAATATACACGGTATGGAGAGTGAGATTCTTTTTCTCTTGTTCCTTTGTAATGGCTGACTGGAGCATGCCCTAATTTTAGTAGTATTTGTTTTTTCTGATTTGAAGGTTTTGTTGATGTGGAAACTCCAACTTTGTTCAAAAGAACACCAGGGGTAAGAAGAACCTGTTCTGTAACATACTGCGGAATCCAAGTCACACTTAAATTTTGCAATAGAAACAAAGAAAATGGAAGAATTTAGCTTTAAGGCTTTGACATCAATTTAAAAATCATCCTTCCTGCCTATTGTATTATTTCTTTAAAACCTAAATAATCTAGTCTGTCAGATGTTGACCAGGCCACCATTAGTTTAGCTGTTTTAGCTGGTTGTTCTGATAGTTTATATTTATTTCTCAGTCTTTTTATTAAGATACAACCAGAAAATACAGGAAATATATACACAGTACTAAAAAAACAAAACGCTTTTCCACTGATCTTCACTCCAGTATATGTGAGTTCTGCATATCTCAGCTGGTCTTCCACATAAGAAACACTGAGAAATGTCTCATCAGATTTTGAAACCTGTTTTGGTCTTTCACTCCTGTTTTTGTCCTTGACCTCGCTGGATTTTTTCCATAATTTCTTTACAGCTTGAATACCACATCATGAGCATCCAGGTTGTTTGCTGATTTTGTTCTGACATTTTTGTGTTTTTATGCCTCCATGCCAGTGATAGCCCTAGTCGGAGACATTATGTTTTTGGGTTGTCCATCTGTCTGTCCATACAATTCTTGTGACTGTGATATGTCAGGAATGCCCTTAGGTAATTTTTT